ATGAGATACTGGGTCCATCATCTGTAGACAGTGCAGGAAAAGAGATCTTACAGAAAGAATTTCTAGTTCTAACAGCTACTATGGAAAACAGTATGAAGGTTCCTCAAAAAATTAAATATAGAACTACCATATGACACAGTAATCCTACTTCTGAGTATTTATTCAAAGAAATTGAAATCAGGATCTCAAAGAGATATCTGTACTTTCATGCTCATTACAGCATTATTATAATAGCCAAGATATGGAAATAACCTAAATGTCTACCCACAAATGAATGAGTAAAGAAAATGTGGTATATGCACACAATGGAATGTTATTCAGCTTTAATAAAGAGAGAGGGCCCTGGCAGGGTATGTAAGTGGTTAGAACATCATCCTAATACCCCAGATTCGATCCCTGGTCAGGACACATACAGGAATCAACCAATGAATGCATAAATAAGTGGAACAACAAATCGATGTTTCTTTTTCTGTCTCTTTCCCCTCCCTTTCTCTCTCTCTAAAATCAATAATAATAATTAATAATAATAATAATAATAAAGAGGGAAATCCTGCAATTGCCACAACATGGATGGACCTTGAGGGGTATATGCTAAGTGAGAAAAGCTAGTCACAGAAGGACAAAAACTACATGATCCCACTTACATATGGAATCTAAGAGTCACACTCAATGAAGCAGAGTGGAATGGTGTTTGCTAGGGGCTGTGGGGAGGAGAAGATAGAGAGGTGTTGGTCCAAGGGTACAAAGTTTCAGTTACACAAGATGAATAGTTCTGGAGATCTATAATACAGCTAACAATGCCGCATTGTATACCAAAAATTTGCTGAGAGAGATTTTGTGTTCATAGCATAAACACAAAAAATAATGATAAAGCATTCATGGTCTTGATGGTAGTGGTGGTGTCACCGGTGCAGAATCGGGGCGGGGGAAAAAAAAAAAAAATTCTAGCCGGGCTTGTATGGTCCTGTTGGTTGCGCCTGGTCCCATGAACCAGGAGGTCACAGCTCGCTCCCGGCAGGGGGCGTGCGGAGGCAGCTAATCAGTGTCTCTCAATTGATGTTTCTATTTCTCCCTTTCCCTTCCTCTCTCTGAAATGAATAAAAACAAATTTTTAAAAATTCTAATTCTTTAGGAAATTTAAAATTATCCTGGACTGTGTGGATCAGACATTTCAGTGAGTCATTTATTTCACACGCTTCTTTTAAAAGGACCAGCCAAACTGTTTCGAATATTTCTGACTGGACTCCCCCGAAATTAAATGCCTTTTAACAGCACATGTTACTTGTAGAGCTGAACATTTACATTGTTAATCTTTCAGAAGCTCAGTGGAAGGAATGGCCACGGGGAATAAACTATCCGAAACCGTGCAGTTAAGAGTGTGGGCCACGCTCTGGTTCCAGCTCTTGTTGGGTGACCTTAACCCGGCCGCGGAGCCCTTCAGCACGCGGAAGGCGCT